TTGATGTCAAATGAATTTTCAAAATGAAATTGAATGAGAAAGGTGAGGTAGATAAGTGCAAAGCTTGGCTGGTAGCCAAAAGGTATGTGTGTAGGTTCAGTGTTAATTACAATGAAGTTTATGCATATGTGGCTAGATGGGATACCATTTGAAGCATCATAGAACTTGCAACTCAAAAGAATTGGCCCATATACCAACTTAACGTGAAAAATGTGTTCTTGCATAGGGAGTTGAGAGTGAGACTGTGTATATAGAGTAACCACCTAATTTTGTGAAGTTAAGAGAAGAGGAGAAAGTTTACAAACTCAAAAAAGCACTCCACGAACTTAAATAAGCTCTAAGGGTGTGGTACAACAAAACATAAGACTATTTTCTCAAGAAGGATTTTGAGAAGTGTAACTTCAAACAAGCCTTATTTCTCAAACTAAAGAAAAAGGTTAGTTTTTTTTGTTAGTTTGTATGTAGATATCTTGCTTTTACAAGAATCTATGAGATGATGATGATTCACTTTAAAGAGTCAATGAAGTGTGAGTTTGATGAGTGAGCTAGGCAAATTAAGGTAACTTTTTGGGGTAGAAATTTTGCAATGCAATAGGAAAATTTATATTTCTCAAAGAAAGTTTGCTAGATAAATACTTGAGAGGTTTGATATGGGAAACTGTAATTTTGTGAACAATTCAATTGTTCTACAAAAGATAGAGGTGGAGTGAGAGTTAATGCAATAAAGACAAACATATGATTGGATGCTTGATGTATCTAATAGTTATAAGATGCAACTTGATGTACATATTATGTTTAGAAAGCATATTCATAGGTGATCTCATAGAACTCAATATGCAAATTGTGAAGAGAGATTTGCTATATATGAAGGGAACAAATGAGTTTGAGATCTTTTGTAAACGAAGAGGTGGCGTGGAGTTACTAGCTTACATATATAACAATTATGTAGATAACAGGGAAGATTGTAAGAGCACTTTGAGTGGTGGAACTATAGCCCTAGAGTTCTAAGAAGCAGTCAATAGTTACATTGTCAACTACAAAAGCAGAGTATATAACAACTTATTGTGTTATTTTTTGACAACTTTATTATTAAACTTTTCACAAAATCTTGTCTTTCATGGGCAAAGTAAGCATATTTAAGTCTTGTTCCATCTCTTATGTAACTTCAACAATGATGACAAGGTGAAGTTAGTATATTGTGATTCATTTATTTAAGTGGTAGACATAATGACTAAACCACTCAATGTATATGCATTTGTGAGATTGAGGGAGTTAGTGAGAGTTTGCAAAGTTTCTAACTTAAATTAATTATACTATAATCAGGTTTAGGGATGGATATCTTAGGATAAGGTTTCTTATTAATCAATTTAGTTTGTTATTTGTTGTTAGTAAAATTCTAAATATTAGGGACTTAGTTGTAAGTTGAATCATTCCTATCTAGTCTTCCACGTTTTAGGGGACATTAAACTCAAATGCTTAAAGGCTTATATAAGCCCTAGTATGTTAATAAAAGTATGCTATTCTTCTACAATTCTGCGTGTATTAGCATACTATATATCTAATATTAATAAAATAAATTTCATGACATTAGATGTCAAACTTATAAACTTACATCACTTAATAACATTATTTTTTTTTATACAATGTGAGATTGACTAATCAAATCATTAATATAAAAGTTGTATTGAAAAGACTAACTTTATTAAATTTTATAAAAAAATAAAATTATTAAATATTTCATTACATTATTACATTTTAGCAGATAATGTGTTTTTAAGATATAACAAAAAATTAAATTTTAAATAATATATGTATAAATGTCTAAATCACGTAAAATTTTACATACATAATTATCAAGATGATATAAAATAATTTTAACGATAGATAAATCTCTCATTTTATTAAAAAATTTATTAAATAATTTAAGTATCTAAATTTAACATATAATATTAACGTATTTATGTTAAGTTTTTTTCCCGCTAATACTCTACTACTCTTTCGTAACTTTTCACGTATATTTCTTTTTCTCCCTTTTTCGTTGCAACAAAATGATATTATTTATTATAATATCATAGAATAGTATATTATATCTTAAGAAAAAAAAAAGTTCTAATCATCATGGTTGAGTTAAATTATAAAGTATTTAATAAATATAAATAATTTAAAATCAATAATAAATAATTTTTTTTATTTTATACATATTTATATTTAAGAGAAATTACATTAATATTTTTAAAAATTGCATGCATTCCGTTAAAGATATCAATTTTTCAGCAATAAAAGTTTTAAAAGACAAAATAAAATGGGGGTTATCTCGTTTGTACTAAAAATGATATGTCGAGATTAATTTATAAAAATTAATAAAAACAATATTAAAATACAATAAAAAAACTAAAAAATAAATTTTCTCTCTAAACTCAGTCATCGCCAATCAATTCTTTCCACGTCACAAGGTTTTCTAAAACCACCCAAAACATGTAGGGCACCGGAGCAATGCCCAAGAAGTTATCCATTGACATGTCTCATGTTATTCCCTATTTCTTTCTAACACCAATTACGTATGGTAACGTGTTGGCTCTCTACCAAATGAACAAATGCAAGGTCTGATCCATCTGTAAGCCTTCCAAGTATCCGTGTGCATGGGGTTGGGGCCAAATATTGTTTGATATGTGTAATTATGTTCTCAAGTTGCAAGAGTGTTCCATTTCGACGCTTTAAGGTTGTAGGATTGTTGACTTTAGATGGAGAATAAGGGAGTACTTTGTTAAATGTTATGTTTTTTAAAGTAAGAAACTATATAGAAACATAATTAAAGTACTTTGTGAATTCATCATCTCATTTTAAATTTATGGCACATATATTTTTATTTTCATATGCAAAATGTTTAACTTTAGAGAAATCAAATTCGTCCTTGTAAATGCATTTGATTGAAAAACAAAAGGCATCGAATTTCACATTTAACAAGAAATAAAAGGGGAGAACACACACGTCTCATTCTGAACCTGGTGGCCAACATGTCAAGAGAGTAGAGACCATGTGTTTTCCAATCCAAATCACACATAACGTGGGTGGATGTAATCATTAATGAATTATTAATACATGTTTTTGACACGGTCGCACCAATACCCTGCATGGGAACTTAATCACTGAATTTTCATGGAAAAGAAGCATATAACTAAATTGTAGTTCCAAAATTAATACTAAGAAAAACAACACTCAACCATTAATCTTGGCTATAATGCCTCAAAGTAGCGCGAGTAATGGGATATAGTGAGCTGTATTGGAATACGCGTATTTGAAGTTTGATATTTGATTGCAACACTCGCTTGATAAGGTGAATGTTTACAGCTAGCAAAAGCATGTCACAAGTCCAAGTCCCTCTGGCTTGACTAGTTGTTTGAGCATCTCATACGCCTAAAAGTAATAAAAAAGAAGGAATATCAAAACATTGGGTCTACTCTCTTCATATCATCCTCCTTTATAATGCGTTACAGGTTAGTCACTCAGGCTAAGGCTAAGGCTAAGCTATCATGAGCCATGAAAAAAGTTAGCTTTGATTTTCTCAAGGCTAATTAGGAAAATGACACATTTCACATATAAATAAGATCTAAGTCTTTCAGCTGATTAATCTTGGTTGATTCTTTCGGACGCGTATGTTACTTTGTTCCATATATATTTGAGCCGTCACGCGCCTGCACATTGATTTATTTATGACTTGCTCCTTTCCAATTCAATGACTTTATCAAACTCACTCCATATTATATTTAAATAAATTATTATAAATATGAATCCTCTTATTTGCTAACTAAAAAGTAAATATTAATCATTTAATCAGTGTCTTTAACAAAATTATTTTTATTCAATACTTAATTATATATTAAGATGATTAATAAAAACAAATAACAAGAGGACATGACATTAGTCGATTTAAATTAAGTTTTTTATGCAATAGAATCATGCACGAAAAGTTAATTACAAAGATATTGGTCATATGACATAATCATGTCAAAAAATCACACGAAAGAAATCCCCAAAATCCTGAAGAAAAAAAAAAGAAAAAACACTCTCAGCCTCAAGCCCTTGACCTTATCAATACTTCAATCTTTGTTCCTCTGATACCATTGGCAGTGATAAGCACGCGGCCGGCACTGGTTGGCTGATTGGTTCCTAGCTATAACGATAACTGGCGGCGATAATTGCGGGTCCTCCAAATTGGTTTCAAAGGTTTAGGTTGGCGCAGTGAAACAAGGTGATTCTGACTACTACCCCTGCAATGGCCCCATGCTTCATGCAATGCACCCATTCAGCTTCATCACTAGTAACCACAATTTCGTTCAAATTAAAATTAGAAATATTTAATTATTTTATGAAACAAAATAACTCATATTCAACAATTTTCACGAATAATTATTGTTATTAATCACTTTTAATATCGATTTTATTATGCAAATCATTAAAATAAAACTTTAATTCTGATTAAAAAAAAGATTATAGCTGATTATAGTATTCAACTTAAGTTTGATCTTTATTGTAATATATGCCAAATGGGATAGTGTCGTAGTTGACCGGTTGCTATAACTAAAACTGGGTCCTTCCGGCCCTTAACTAGCGCCAGTTCGGACAGAGTAGCAAAAAAGAAAGCAATCATAAAAGCATGTTCTCAAAACTCAAGCAATTTCTCGTGTAAGTTGAAATTTGTTAATAATTTTATTTTATAAAAAACATGGTTAAAATTTAGTAATATTAGAAAGCAACACAAAATGCGGGTGAATTTGTTAATGGGAGGCTTCACGGAGAGCCGAAAGAGAAAAGAAGTCAAAGACAGTGACGTTGACCGGACGAGGAGAGTACGCTGGGTGCCTCGCTGGCTCATAAATGGCTCGCAGCGCCGAGCGAAGAAAAAACGATGCGTTTTTGCCACGTCATCGCATCATGCTTTGTGCTTTTTTTTTTGGGAAGAAAATGAAATGGTTCACTTGCGCTTTTATTCTCCGTTCTCTCTATCAACAACAATGGAATATTTGCAGGACTCTGGGATCCGCGTTTCTCGATCACACACAGCAATCAAATTCAGTGCATCTCCACATTTTCGCGCGTGAACCTCATCGCCATTCTTCTCTTCTTCCTCGTAAAATTCCTCTCCCTATGCTGCATTCTCGTTTTTCGCATCCGATTTCTAGTTTCGCGAATTTCTCCCTCATTGTTGTATTTCTACTAGTTGAATCTGTTGTTGTTTTTGTATTTATCTGATCGATCGACGACGTTCAGTGTTTTTGTTTTTTTCTCCTCCGTTTTTGGAAACTTATATTGATAATTTCCTTTGTTATGTCGTCGTTTTGTGTGCATTACGATCCTTATTGTTGCCGCGTGGGTTTTATTGTTGATTGCGCATGAAAATGCTTTATTAATTGGAGAATATGTAAAAAGGTGTTGAGGTTTCAATTTGTTCTCGTATAATTAATTAATGCGTATTTGTTTTGTTTCCTTATTTAGGATTTGATTGTAATTGCACTTAATGGAGGTTTAAAGCTGCCCAAGCACGCGTTGTAGTTGTTGTTGTTCTATATATTGTTGTTGTGGTGGTGGTGGTCTTCGGCATTTGAGGATTGACGGGGGCGTCAAAAATGGCTGCTAGGAGCGAACACCAAACGGTTCCTCTTTCGGTGCTCCTGAAGCGTGAATTGGCGAATGAGAAAATTGAGAAACCTGAGATTCTTCATGGTCAAGCGTGTCAGAGCAAGAAAGGGGAGGATTTCACTCTGCTCAAGACGGAATGCCAGAGGGTGGTGGGGGATGGAGTCTCTACATATTCCGTTTTTGGGGTATATTTCTCACGGTCTGCTTTTCCAGATTGAATGTAACATTGCCTTTTTATTTGGATTTGATGGGTTGCAACTTATCAACAAATTTTAATTTGTCGTATTTTACATGTTACCATTCTCTGCCATGAGACATGATGAATGGGAGAATAAAAAGGATTTTAAGCATCTTGCGTGACAGTTAACTATCTTATGCTAGGATGACCACTGTCAATGATTAGAGGCTTGTGGAGTGGGGGCTTTTCATAGGTTTACTAGGAGTCCATTGTTTTATTTTTATGGTTATATTTGGTGTACTGACTTCATAGACTGTGGAAAGACTTTAGCAAGTTACATATTACTGACTTTATTGCTCAGCTGATGTGAACAGGTTAATATAATGCTAAGGTGTTTTTTTAGTTTGCTTTGGTTTTCTTGTTATGGTTTTGTTCACGTGCACTCATTTTAGTTGGATCGCGAGAAGGACTCAAGTCATTTATGCTATGAATACTTATAATTCAATCCACTATTGTGCTTTTCCTGGTTTCTGCTTTTTATTATTATTATTATTATTATTTTGCGTTTTCCCTGGTTTCATTTTCTGATATAGAAGTTTTACAGCTATTTGATGGACACAATGGAACTGCTGCTGCTATTTATGCTAAGGAGAATCTTCTAAATAATGTTTTAAGTGCGATTCCTTCAGATCTTAACAGAGATGAGTGGATAGCAGCATTGCCTAGGGCTTTGGTTGCTGGCTTTGTAAAAACTGACAAAGATTTTCAACAGAAAGGTACGGATAGTTCATTCTTTTAGTGTTTTCTCCATCCTCTGTTGATTATTTGTTTAGGAGGGAAATTTATGTACAACAGATCGCAATCTTAATGTTAATATCACCAAAGTATTTGTTCATATTTCTAATATTTGTTGTCATCATTACTCAAGGCTTATTAAAGTTAAAATGTTAAATAGCAAAAAAAAAAAAAAACAGATACTAAGTTTTTATTGAAAATATATTCAATTCTGTGATACCCTATTATTTTCAATTAAAACTTATTATACATAGGTTTTTATTATGTGGTACATATTAGAAAAACCATTTTTATACTTCTAACATCTGTTTGGAAGGTTTGCTACTGGCTCTTTTAGAAAGTAAGCTACAAAAGCTATCATACTCTTGCCTCCTTCCATAGTTCTTTTTTTATTTTTAAATATCTTGGTTGTAACTGTCCATTGATAGGAAACTCAGATACAAAACGGGGAGGCTTTTTTTCCTTTTTAATCAACATGTTTTCAAGGCTTTTTGAAAGTGCGTACAGGAATTGGTTGACTTAGGTTGACTTTCTTTGCCTGTTTTAAACTCTGGACGTGAATCTTACTTGTTCCAGGCGTCAGCTCCAACTACCTTGAACAGTTGGCATTGATTTGGCTTGATATGCAAATTTATTAAGAACCAAATTTCAAATTTTCAAACAGAAGTTAATTCTTTCTGGAAAAATCCCTGTGACAGGTTTAGTTGGCACGATGTGCAGTTTCATTCTTCCTTGATTAAAGGTGGTTAGGTTAAGTTTGTGGGTACCTCCCTAAAAAAATGTATGTGGTTTCCCCTTTTTGAAAGTTTTATGAATTTTGCTTAATTACACTGGATTCATTTCTCGCTTTTGTAGCATTTTTCCAGAGGCTTTAGAGGTTTTTCCCCTATTAGCACTTGTTGGGTGGTTTAATTGGCCACGCCATTAAAATTTACTAATACTACTTTTGCTTAAGCTTGACCCTTAAGATTGTCTAATGCATAATGCATGATGACTGTTAATTGTCTAATATTATTTCGGTTCCATATGGATGGTAAACTTGGCATAAGATTGAAATTACTAATTGCATCATGCGATGCATCTGCTACCTCTCAATTGCAGCAGCTGCCACTTGCCACTGTTGCATTGCATTGCAATTGTTGACCACATTGGTTTGCATGAAGCTGCAACATGACTGTGGCTGCGATGCCACTGCAACCACGATTTTAAACTGCATGCTAATTATTGGCATATTAGAGTATCATATGGTTGAATATCAATTACGCATGAAAGTTATTAACATGGTGTAACTGAGATGTGATTGATAGTTTTTATACTTATGAAATAATAATTTTTAATTATTATAATTTGTTGTAACAGGACAAAAATCAGGAACAACTGTCACCTTTGTGATTATAGAAGGATGGTTTGTAACAGTTGCATCAGTTGGTGATTCCCGTTGCATACTTGAATCTTCTGAAGGTGTGCTGTATTACTTGTCAGCAGATCATAGGCTAGAAACAAATGAAGAGGAGTAAGTTGTTACTTGAATGATTTTATGGAACACTGGAGCTGTTCAGTTATAACACAGACTTACCCTTCTTTTACTTTCATCAGGAGGGTGCGCATCACCTCTAGTGGGGGTGAGGTTGGTCGGCTAAATACCGGGGGAGGTGCAGAGGTACGTGCCCTTTTTTATCCCAGATGGTATTTGCTCCATAACAAACTTCAACCCACTCATTCCCCATCACTACCAAAAAGAAAGAAAGAATATCCGATGCCTTCCGATATTTTTATTTTTGGTACAAGATGCAGGTCCCCATTAAACTACATAATTAAGAAGTAACCTAGGTGAATCGCCCGTGGAGAACTGAGAGGCTAGCATACACTAGTTGATTACAATGAGTGATAAGACCATATTAACTTGCAATCATATTACTCGTAGCATTAAAGCTTTTACAATCTTTTGGGGACACTTTTGTTAATGTTTAAATTTTGTACAACACTGACTGTATGTGTTGTTTACCAATATTCTTTTTATAATAAATTTGTCTGTGTTGATAATATCATAGTACTAATATGCCTGCCTGACTATTAATGATTATTGTAGGTTGGTCCTTTGAGATGTTGGCCTGGTGGCTTGTGTCTCTCACGATCTATCGGAGATATGGACATTGGTGAATTTATTGTCCCTGTACCGTATGTAAAGCAAGTGAAGGTTGGTCACTACACTATCTGACTCATAAAAGCAGTGTTGGGTTTATGTTGATTAGTTACTTTTCTCATGCACACTTTTTTGCTCACAAGGTTACTTAGCTTATATAGTTCCTTTCTCTTCTGTTTGATTCTACACAGATTTTCATCTGTTTTAAATCTTCTAAGCAAGTATTTCTGCTAACCACATGATATTGTGTTAGATCAAATGATTGGATTCTTATGTTGTGAATTTATCATCTGTTTTCTAAGAAATCCTTATGCGTGTTTTCTTTTTATTTTTTTTTTGTCTAAAGAAGAATTTAATTTCTTCCTTCCCTCCCCATTTATTTCTGTTTATTAGCTGTCCACTGGTGGAGGCCGGCTTGTAATCTGCAGTGATGGTGTTTGGGATGCTCTGCTTGCAGAAGTGGCCCTTGATTGTTGTCGTGGAATGTCAGCAGAGGCTGCTGCACCACATATTGTTAAAGTGAGATTAATGTACATAATTTGAATCATTTTTATGAATTGTTTGCTAGCCCTGTTTTCAATTTTGGGTATGATTGTATGATAATAATCCTGACTTGCAAATCATAAGATATATTGTTTGCAACTTTGCATTTGTTTCTCCTGATAACTTTATCATTTGGCGGTGGTCTTAATGATGTTTTTGTTGAAGTGAGATTACTGTTCATCTTTTGAATCGATAACTTCTTCATTTGATGGTATAATGATGTATTTGACTCCTTTATTACCCTGTCTCTTTCTATCTTCAGGAAGCTGTACAAGCAAAGGGACTTAGAGATGATACAACTTGCATTGTTGTTGATATATTACCTCAGGAGAAGCCACCTGTTTCTGTGCCACAACCAAAGAAGCCAGTAAAGGGAATGCTCAAGTCCATGTTTCGTAAAAAGTCTTCTGAATCATCTTCTAATATTGACAAGGAATGCTTGGAGCCAGATGTAGTGGAGGAATTGTACGAGGAAGGATCTGCTATGCTTTCAGAGAGGTTTAGTTTTGTAACAGCCGCTGTCAAAATTAGCTAGCAGCTTTCTCTCTAGTTTTTACTCGAGTCTTAACAAATAGTATGTATTTATGTGATATGCAGGTTAGATAGTAAATATCCTATCTGCAACATGTTCAAGCTGTTTATGTGTGCGGTATGTCAAGTAGAGATAAAACCTGGAGAGGGCATTTCAATACACGAGGGTGCACCCAACTCCCGAAAAGTTCGTCCTTGGGATGGACCTTTCCTTTGCTTAAGTTGCCAAGAGAAGAAAGAAGCCATGGAAGGGAAAAGATCATCAGGTTTTTTTATGACTCTTCATTTCTTCCCATCTTAAATTGAGAGACGAGTCCATAATATATCCCACTATTTTGATATTCTGATTTCAGGTAGACTTAGCAGTGGAAGTGACGAATGAACTCTCATGTATATTTGCATTGTGAGAGTGATAAAAATTGTTCATATGATGGGAAGGTCAAACTTCCAAGCTACGATGACTCCCTTCTATTATCAGAGGGGCTTTATGGATCTAATCTGGAATTCCACATGGAAATACACAAGAAAACAAATAGCAGCTTGTTAGAAGATTTTTGACTTGGAAGTATGAAATAGCAACAACCAACTGTTGTGAAGGGTTGTGTTAAAAGTGGCAGTGCACAGCAGGATTGCAGAGGTAATGCATTCTTTTAAATGTATTTATTTTTCTGGGATCCGTTTTTGTGTACGGATCTTTTGGAATTACCATAGACGACCTTTAATGAAAGTGGTCTTTGTTATTATAATGTAAAATAGGAAGTTTAATTAGAATTCATAGAATCAATTCCACTGTAGGTTAGACGTGTGTTAAGTCTTCTGAATGATTTGTTCCTTTAGCATTCCATTTTGACATTTCCTTTTGCTATACGAACATTAGGTATTTTGTAACAGATATGTTGGGTGAAAGTATTCCCTACCTTTCTTCCCCCTCAACCCCACGCCCCCTAAAGTTTTCCTGGAAAAGGAGAAAGGGTACTTATTATATCCCACCTAGCTTCTTTTTTTTTTTTTTTTTTTTTTTTTCAGTTTGTTAGATGTATAAGCAGGAACATATGCCTGGAATTATTTTTACGACGTTGCCTGTTGCATGCATTTGCAGTTTTGCGCGAAGCTCTGTTAAAATAACAGTTGTAAATTTTCCTCATCCTTGAGAAGTACTGAACCGTTTCCCCAATAATGAATGTTACATGTTTGGCGGTATGCTTTTGTTTTATTACTGTTTTTGTTTTACTACTATTTCCTTTTTGGGGGATTTGATTAGAATTTAAGACCCTAAAATAAGTTATCATCCTTAGGAAGGGGAACCACACCAGAGCACCTATCTCTGTTGACTATTCTATCGCGTGGGTAGACTACATGAAACTTTTGAGTCTCTTTCTCGAATATAATTGAAAGCAGAAGAACGAAGGATAACACTATTTGGATCCAGGGGCCAAATTCAGGTCATTCTGTGAACATACAAGAACTATTGAACGAAAGATGCTTGCCAACATGAACTATATAGTTAATAAGAAGTATTTAATTTTTCCATTTTGACGGTACTAAATTTAGAAGATCCGAGTTATGACATCCGAGTTCGAGCATTATCATGCAGGAAATCAAATGTCGTTAATATTGACACTAACAATCGAATATGACGTTGGAAGTATGTCTGGTAATATATTGGCCAAAATAACAAACTTGATACTTGCAAGTATAAACCTGTGAAAACTAATCGTCCGAAAATCATTTTTCATTTGGAAAGTCAATTAAAACTATTCTAACATTAACTTGTCACAAGATCACTGAGCAGTGAGCACATGGATCTTCTTATAGAACATGCATGGGTTAGACGAAAACAATCTTGATACGAACTGTTATGTAATATGTCAAGCAAGGAAGACACCGTGATTACTTTTCGTGATTTCTGAAGAGAAGTAAGCTTATACTGCATAAAAGTTGAAACGAGAAAAAAAAATGTAAAAAGCATATATTTTTCCCTCATTTTCTTTTTAAACTTTATACTATCAAACTTGTCTTCTAATTTATTAATATTTGAGATTAGTTCTATAATTAATATGTGAGTTAAGATTCGTTAACGCTAAACGTTAATTTTAAACATTTACATCTTTAATAATTTTTTATAAAATGTAAGATTGATCAATATAACCATTAAATCATCTTATATTATCTTTATGATCATTTATATTAAATTTCATATAATTTGAATATTTGTAGATTTGTTATTCAAAATTTGATATTTACTTATATTTTAAAAACATAACACCTACTAAAATAAAGTAATATGAAGAAGTACTGTTAATTTTATTTTTGTATGAAATTTTATAAAATTGATTTACTTGATAAAAATCTTAAAACTATTAGTTTGATCAGTCAATTTCACATTTCATGTTGTTAAAAAAGGAAAACAAAACAAAACCAGTAAGAAATCCCAAGTGAAACTCAATACATTTTCAATTATATTGTACCATTTACTTTTAAACAGGTATGTACAAACTCAAATCATGACCCATTCTCAAACTTAAATATATTTAGTCTCAATATAAATGGCTTAGTATAGGGACTATCGGAACATACATGATCTTTATGAAATATGGTTCAATCTTTTTATCCTAATATCTTTATTTTCCCATCCACTATGACCCCAAAAAGTGTTAGCATGAGTTGTTGATATACTATAATTATTTGTATATCCTAATACCTTTACTTTCACTTGAAAATTATTAAAAGCCTTTTTTAATATCCAATATGAATGATTTTGTTTGAAAAATCTTTGTTATTTAGTATACACTATTTTCTTTCCGTGTTTCAATTAGTGATAACAAGTGCCCTCCATATAAATAAGGCATGCATTATATCCTTTAACACTATATATTCATTTAAGTTTTCATATGCTGTGAAGTCATTAATCATATGAAAAATCATAGTGTGCAACTTAAAGTATTTATAATGGTAAGTATCAAAGACATCAACACATTCTACCCACAATGTTTTCAAGTCTTCAATATTTAAGGGCTTTAAAAAAATATTAATGTTATTTCTTATTGTTTCGAACAAGAAATCATTATTAACAACATAACATATTTGCATTTTGTGCACAAACGAAAAGATAAATTGTAAATTACTAGTAGAACATGCCATGAATTATGTATACTACTCTTAAGTTACCATAAAAATTCATTCTATCTTTAGCAAGTCCAAGCCTAAGGTTTTTTACCTCGTTATTAAACTTTAGAAACAATTGATCAATTTTTTTCTATTAAATAAAATTAGATGGATGATGCAACTTTCCATCATGTTTCCTTATTAACACTAAAAAATAATTGCTTGAATCTTGAAATTATTGAAAAGTATCATAAAACTTTAGCTAGGGATCTTTTGTTCTCACATCACAACTTTCATCACCATCCTTTACTTTGGAGCGTGAAACTCCATAAACAGGACACTCATGCAACCCTTTATAATTTTTTTATACAAAATATAATCATTAAGACAAACATGTATTTTGTTATACTCTATATCCATTGAACATAATATCTTCTATTTTGTATTTACGATATGTAAGTATATTATTTTATAGAAGCATGTTTTTCAATTGAATCAATTTTATAAAACTTTGATTAGTCCATCCATTTTTTCCTTTAAATTAACTAATTTTAATATTGGTGATAACTGTGTAAAATTAATACACCTTGCATACAAAGATTTATTAAAGTCTTTGCACAAATTATTAGAATATGTCATCTCTCAAGAGAATTTTTTCTTATATCACAAATCAAATCTTAGTTGTTTGGAAAATGTTGCATATATTTACTAATTAGCCATGCTATATCCATCTTGTACAACTCTTGCAAAATCTATCATAAAACATATGTTCTCTTATATTTTTATTGCACTTTTTTTAAAATTTTTGTAAATTTTTAAAATATTACTGCACTTTTTTTTATCAATTTTTTATTGACTAATATAAAATTGTGTTATATAATATATTTTTTCACTAGTGCAATAATAATGATATTCATATATTTATAAATAACTTTGATATTTTTCTTTTCTTTTTTAAAAATCACGTTACTTATTTTATATATATATATATATATATATATATTCTCTTTCCCATCTTTTAATAGCCATAGGTACTTAATAAGCATATAAATAACATTTTTCTTAAATTGATATCAGAAAATGAAGAAAAAGTTCGGTACCCATGAGGATCTGTGTCCCCTGTGTGGTTCGAGTGTAAAGTATTTGTCTTATGCTCCGTTTTCATATTATTTAATGTTAATATATATAGTTTTTTTGCCAACTCGTACTCTTATCTTGAAAAGGAGAAAGGTAAGAAATTTAGAACATGAATTTGAGTGGTGAAAGTGGTGAGGACGAGCCTGTCCAACCAAATAATGCCTCCATGATTAAGATGTTGACCTAAACCACGCTTACAAAATTCCTTTATGCTTGCTACATGGACCACCGTTACCGTATACACGTGTGTGTGGGTCTACAAAACCCCACCACACTACCTAAGTGCTTTTTTATTCCTTTTATTTTCCCCTATCTTTTTGTGTACATGCCAGTCAATGTACACATACACGGACACAGTATTGAGGAGTCACTCACCTGACTTCTCTCTTCTAAACAACATCGTTCATTAATGAATGGGCGAAAGTGAACTCAATGAATCACTATTCGTTCCCAGGTCCCAACGATTCGATGGTGATGTTCTCATTCTCTTTTGCAAACTATTTATACTTATTTACGTGATCAAAACTATTTTCTTATTTTTTGTAATGTACATGCATGTTAAAAATATATTTATAATGACAGGGAGAAACTTCATTAGTAGCCTGAATAAGATTATCTCTAATAAAAAACAATACATGTGGAGAGAGAAAAAATAAGAGAAGAGACACCTTCGTCCCTCTGAATGTGTACAAAATACATTTCCATTTTTGGGTGAATGCATGGCTGTACTTAATATCTATATGTATGACCCTTTTTCCTAGCAGAAGAACTAGTAAATGGATATTGATTTGCGTAACAATTGCAGAAATGGAAAACTAATGAAAAAGAAAGGAAGAGCATCTTGAAATGCAAAAGGATAAGGCCATTCACTAGTTGATATAAAATAAACATTACAGTTCGTAGAAGTATATGTTGGGTTGGATTTTTCTTTGACTGTTAGGCCATTGCTCTGTGAACTCTAAACACGTTTGAGTGCACGTGGGGAAGAGGAACCCAATCACACGGAGCGAGCGAAGCATGGCAGATTCAGAAGCAACATATTCAAAGATTCCTTTCTCAACCGACGCTTCAATTTTCAAACTCTCCGTCTAAATGGACATGCAAATTTCTTTTTCTGGGGTCCTCACCTATCCACCCAGACATTTCACATTTATTGGGAATACTTTAAAAGGTTATGTTTGCATTGCATCCATTGAAAAATTCGTACTATAATTTGGAACTCTTTTTAATATATATATATATAGAATTTATTGACACCAAATAATTTTTTTTATATAATTTTTTAACTGTTAAATTATTTAATTTGTATGATTAAAATTTAGTGCAAGTCTTAGAACTTGTCAATAAATTATATATATATAATATCTGATGCGTTATAATATTAAATATTATATTTTTAATAAATATTTATTAATTTTATTATTATTATGTGTCCTTAGGTATGTTTAAAAAATTATATATGTAATACTTTTAACATCAGTCTTTTGAAGCTGATATTAAGGATCTAAATATTTTTATTAAAAATTATTTGAAATGTTTTTAATGTACTAATTAAATGCTTTTTTAATCAAAAGTTACTACTACTTTTTTATGTTTAAACTTAATTTTAAGGACTTTTGTTAATACAATTATATGGGATAAACTAACCATTCACTATTAATCAATCAATAATAGTTAATTAAGAGTGGTTTTGAATTTATCTCTGCTTGTTTATTTCAACGAGAAACAAGAGCTGGGAAAAGGTGAAAAAAAATCTTTGGAAACAATGCATTGAAAAGTATGTATCGCATAAGAATGTAACAAACAAACAAAAAGCTTTAGAGAAAAGAAAAATCTTAGAATAATATAAGTCTGACTCGTACAAAGGACCATGAAATCTTGTCCCATTGACATGAATAAAATAAATAAATATTTTTCATTTATAGAGCCTCACACCTTCACGTATCCCTTTTCTTCTAAGATTATCGCTAATTACACAAGACTCATGATAGAAAAATATTATAAACAAGTCCAAAATTCTCAAGTGAAATCCACCGTGCCAATCCCATCTTCTTTTGGTGGCCAAATTTGGATCTTTGTGAGCCCATTTTCCGAAACCAGCGCAATTGCTGGTCGACCTGACAAGGACTCAACGAAGAACCAAACCTTTTTTTCAACACACGAGTGAAATTTATCATCTCACCGGTCATCTCATTCCATAGTGTCACTGCTAAACACCCCTATGTTAATAGTGCAAAGGAAAAAAAAATGACCCAACTCGATCAACTAAATAATATTATAATACTGTAAGATTTACTTTAATTTAATTTATGCATTTGATTTGGTTTCAACTTTATTTTTGCGACATGCTTGCATCACGCCCAGGGACACATGTTCATAAACATATGCAAATAAATGTGTGATGTAAAAATGTGACAACGAGTTTCTACACGGTTAGCTTTCTTAAACCAATGTTACCAATTAAAATTAATGTTGTTCCCACATCATGTTATGACAAGTGAGAAATAGGAAGAGAAGAGATAAAATGTGAAATAAAATGAATAAATAGAAGGAGAAAGATAGGAAAACAAAAAAGTGTTGTGAAAATATGAAGTAAAAATAGAATGATTCTTTACTTAAAAGACCAAATGCGCTTTGACAAAGACTCCCTCTCATTCTTTTCCTGCTTTTTGATGCCTTTATCCCTCTAAAGGTTTGTTATCATTTCATACAAGGAAGATTACAAACCTTTTCCTCTGGCGACCAAAAAGAAAAGACTATAGGCCAAGAATTTCAGATATTGCATCAAATCTGTTATCCTTCAAGCCAACCTTACTGTTATGGAAACTCTTCAGCACCAAAAGAACACAGAAAACGATGTGGAAAAGCAACAAATTGAAGGATTAGCACAGTTAAGGCAAGAAAATATACAAGACCAAGCAACATCACCAACATCTTCATCACAACCTTCAGCATCCTCTTCGCCTTCTCATGAGTTCTCCTTCACAATCTCTCTCCACCCCACATTCCCTGACAACTCTAAAGCCCCACCATCTCTTGCAGTTGATCTTTCACCTGCTGATGACATTTTCTTTCATGGCCACTTACTCCCTCTACACTTCCTCACACACCTACCTTCATCGCCTCGATCTTCAACCAATTCCATGGACAGCTTCACCCTCCCCATAAGAGATCTTTTAGCAGATCAAAATCCCATTAAGGACAGTGGCAGTGGCAGCAGCAGCAGCAGCAACACCAGCAATAACAGCATCAAAAAAGACCAAGACAACAACCTAGTAAAAAAGGTACAAGGTAAGTCCAAGCTTGCTTTTTCATTATTTGGATTAACCAAAGGGCTCAAAGGGTGTCAAGATAAGGAAGATAACAAAGAGAAACACAAGAAGAAGTTCAAGTTTGCTCTGATCCATGCACTGAAAAAGTACTTAAGAATAGTCCAGCCAAGGATCATGCTTTTCAAAGGAAAAAGAGAGAAAATTAGATCCCGTGGACATTCTCATTCTTATTCAGGAAATGTAACTCCGAGAAATTATAAGCAAGAATTGAAGGGTTGGAGAGGACAATATTCAGCACCAGCATCAATGAGGACTTCTCCAACAAACAGTGGTCTCTTGCTTGCAGCCACTCCTCTTCCTTCTGCTAGTGACAGTACCATGGAAGAGTTGCAAGCAGCTATTCAAGCTGCAATTGCTCACTGCAAAAATTCAATTGCAAAAGAAGAGAAGCTCAAGTGCTGATTCGCAGATAGGAGTTTTTTTTTTTTTTTTTATCCAGAATTTTATTTCCTATTATTGATTTGGTATGCGGTGTTTTAAGTAATTGTGTACATAAAAAAATTGTACTATAATAATGAGAATAAAGCCCAACTAGAAATAATATATCTAAGCAGATTATGAATTTGTGTCTAGCTTGTTCTAGCTAGAATCTGGACCAACTTGTATTATAGTATCTAATGAAATTTTGGAAGCTCAAGCTAGTGGCTGATTCTGTTTCCATTCGGATCAATGATAGAAGTATTGATGCCATAGTTCACAATACAATAGGTAAATAAGATATATTACTGAGATATATCTTGTTATTTTCTTTTTGGTGAAAAATTGTACAGATTTTATATGTGGGAATTTTGACACGAATAAACACCTAGCAGCCAGAGATGTGCCAGAATTTATCTTCCATAAAAGCCATTGTTTTCTCTGCCTTGTCCTAGCAGGATCCATATGCATTATTTATGCGGCTTTGTTATTATTCTTTTTCTTTCATTTTCCTTTGCGTTGGTACTTAGTTTTCCTTCAAAATCATATCCAAGACCTGTCCAACTGAGACTTGTTTGGACCAGATATATTAGATTCCCTTGCCAAATAATTATCTGTTCTATCCTGTCACAATCATTCAAAGAAAGGTTGTATGGATTTGTGAAGGGTAACGTTACACCTTACAACTATTGGTGACAAATCACAAATGCTCGTATGCTTAAAAGGTGTGTGACTTTGTTCTTGACAAACTTAACTGTTACGAAAGTTCAATATACACCAACCAAATCATTTACCTAGAAACATAAGGAATATCATCATTATGTTCCAAATAAACAAACTGAGGAAATATAAAGAGAGAGGTCAATACACAATAAATATAAAATCTTTGTAGTCTTTCTAATTCTTCGTCTTAATTATTTTCTTAAGAGATAGACTTCCTTGTATAGAACTCCAAACATAAATGCAAAAGAAAAGTTACACTTTATAATATAGTATATACACCATAATATATGTATTAGTTACACTTTAATTAACTATATTAAAGTTGTAATCCTAATTTTTTTTATTAATGTTTGTAATATGTATCTAATGAGACACAAATTGTATATAGTAATTAAGTTTTTATTCAAAATAATAGAATATTACAAAATATATATAGAGATTGAGAGGAAGCATTTTTTTATCAGTATAAATCTAAAAACTCTTACACCTAATCTAAACCTTTTATTTAATTTAAATACTCTTACACCTAATTTAAACCTTTTATTTAACTTAAATCTATCAGCCACTGAAATAATAAATTATAATTTATTAAATTTAAGTTAAATAAAAGGTTCAAATCAGATGTAAAAAATTTTAAATTTATACTGATGTAAAAAGATCATGACCTATATATATATATATATATTACTATTAATTTTGATAATCTTATATTATGGGTTAAGCAGTGGCTCTAGCAAGTAGCTCAAGGAAGGAGAGAGGAAAGAAGTGAGAAATCATGATAAAGGGATGTTCCATGGTGTTTGAAGTCTATATCGAGACCATGCAAAGTAAATGTCCTAACTTGATGAATTAGAGAGTCAAATTTTAACCTAACTCATTGAATTTAAAGAAACTTGACATTAACCCATTGAATTCAAAGAAATGTGATTTTAATGTAAGTTAAAACTTTTGTTCTCCAATTGAACCAAACCTCAACTTGGATGATTTATAACATTTTAGTTGATCAAACAAGAAATAACGTTTGAAAATGAAATCAGTTGTAGACCCCACCGATAATGGCAGTGAAAGGAACTAGAAAGTGGGGATATAATTTAATCATAACAACTATAAGTGAAAATAAAGGAAAGACGTGAATGGATAGGGACGGGATGGCTGCTGAACAAATTAAGGGAAATTTATGAGTACCATGTACGACAATTATATTACAGCCATATATGAAGCCTAAGATTATAGTACTTTGTCTATCTTCACTTTTCAAATGTGTAATTATCATGATGGACAAATGGTGGTGAAAGTCATAAAGATCATACTAATGATAAATAGTGAACACAATGATGAAGTCTACATATAGATACGAGCAACTGGCAAGGATAACCACGAGCGCTTCTCTCTCTCTGTGTTCAAAAAATGCTTCTCTTTTCTAAACAAGGTCACCTTCAAAGCTGTTTATCTACTAAAAGCCCATTAGAAACAGAAACCCATGATGTTAGCAAGTGCACGTATTGTCTTTGATGGAAGAAACCAAGACGCTAACTAACCCATTCTATGCTTCAACCATTACTTATTATTAGCCACTTATCCACTGTGTTACATCCATGTATGAATTAAATATTTTATTCATCTATAATGATTTTATCAATTTTATGTGAATGTATAAATTATAACAAATGAAACAGGTATAATGATATATAAGACCTGCTGCTTGGTTTATATATATATATGTAAACTTATTTTTCCTATTTTGTTTTTATGAAAACACTCTTACTTCAAAAGTTTGAAATTTTAATATAAAATAGAAGAAAAAGAGTAGCGATGATGAAAAGTTTAGGAAGACAGGGCGGGGCGGGGGTTCAAGAAATCAAAATTCAAAGAAATTGACAATGACATCACTTTTAAATTTCAACAGCTATTATTTGTAGATTACATATAATTATGAAAATTGAAGAATGTTTATATTATTTTATAAATAAAAAGAATTTATATTTTAAGAAAGTGTCTATGATTACCGATCCTTAATTTTATGCCCTCCTCTTCTCACTAAAAATGACTTTAAAAGCCTTTTGGTGTCACACTCTAATATGCTCAAAGTGCATGGCAATGGAGGAAAATAAAATCCTTCACTAACGCTTGGAGACTGTTATTTGTGGGGCCTTGCTTTTCACTTACGGGGAGGAATTCACGAACTTGAATGGATCCAAGTTTTGGTACAATGATATGACACGTTTGGAGAAAAAGAAGGAGAGTTATTTGCTTAATATTTTATTATTTGAACATATTAATTATTATTATTTATCATCTAATTAATATTTTTATCTATTTTTTAAAAATATCAATAATAAGTAAATTTTTGAAAACTTTTATTTATTTATTTATTTATATAAGCAACTACTTTATTTGTTTTAGGTCATCACTGACCTTGTTGAATGAATTGTAGGGAACTATCTTATCATTCCTATGTCGTTTTGTTTATCATGTAATCAATTAATGTTATAGAAACATAGCTTCTCAAAAGTTTACTTTTAACATTAGTTATTGTTGCATTTACTCTATTTGAAAATTATTTCTTTGATTTAAATATATTTTGTTTCTTTTTAAATATTTTTTTAATTTATTCCATCATTTTTAAAAGTTATGATTTAGACTTAGTAATTTTTTCATCCTCTCCCATCACATGTAGTCTCTAAATCATCATTTTATTATTTTACACGTTAATTATTTATGTATATCTTAAGAACAAAGGATCAAATAAAAAATATAATATATAAAAAGAACTAAATGAATGAGAAAATATAACATTAAATTAAAACAAATAGAAGAAAACCCTAAGAGAGTAACTATTTACATAAGAAGGGGAAAAATATAATATTAAATTAAAACTTCTTAAAAATGTGAGATTAAATAAAAATTTGTCATATTTAAAGAATATAAATATATTTAAGGTTTTATTTCCCACCTTTCCAAGAAGTTTTTCTTTTTTGGGGTCCAATTTACGAAGAAGTTGTTATGCATTAATTTCGTGCATCAATTTGAAACGAATGCAGGCCCACCTCATTTGAATGAGCCCATTAAATGCGTCAACTATATGCTTCACCTACCCACGGGTTGTTGACTTGTCCAACCATGCTCTCACTTCTGACCCCTATTTATGGCCCATTTGACCCAAAAACATAACTTGACATGGCCAAGTAATTTTAAATCAATTGGGCCAGACAATGAAAATCTGGAGAGAAATGTTCAATTGTCCAAATTTTTTTTATTATAATTATTAAATCACTTTTTACCCAAAATAGTTTTATTTTAAATTTTTAATAATTTTAATTTAATATTATTATAAATTAATCAAAATAAATATTTAATCCACCCTTTTGTTTTTGTAAGACATAAAAGCTGCTATGTTCACAATCTAAAATATACTATCCGAATCTCTTTCTATTTTATCGGTAGAAAGTGAGTTTTTTTATCGTAAAATTATCCAAAAACAATAAAGTTCTTGAGATAGACCCTCTGTCAATTTTATTATATGATTAGGCCTATTTTTTTTGCTATTCAAAATTCGGTTCCCTAGAACCAAATTCTGGGTTAGTTTTTGGTTTTTTTTATAATAAATAAATATTATTATTTAAATTATATTTATATATTATTATTGTGTTAAAATAAATATTTATAATACATTATTCTAATAAATATTTATAAATATTTTATTATTTATATATAATAAAATGAGTTTTATTATTTGAATTTGAATTTTATTTTTATATTATTTAGAAATAAATAAAAATAGTAATAATATTATTTTTAAATGTTTATTAAAATTTATTTGATATATTTAAGATAATAAATAATATTTTTATTTTTCTTATTATATTATTTAATATAAATTTATTTTTTGAAAATGATATTAATATTATATTCTAAAATTATATTTTTGGTTATTCAATATTATATATTTATAAAATAAATAAAGTATTAAATAATAACTAGTTTATTTATTTATTATAATATATTAAAATTTATTAATATTTATACATAATTATTTATTTTAAAAAATATGTTATTAACATTAATAAATATAATTAAATAATATTATGTAGATATATTATATATATAATTATATATTGAATATAAATTATAAATACTAAAAATTTAAAAGTTGTAATGACATTCATAAAATTAAAAATGACATTAAGAAAATTTTAAAATAATAACAACAACATAAATCAATGGTGGGAACTAGAAGCTTGACCGATGTTTGGACATGTCTTCCTTATGTAATCAGGAGCATGACAATAAGAATAATTTTTTGCCCAACTTTGTTGTTCTCTAATGTCCATCTCTATTCTTATCCTACTGAACTTGGGTCGACTCTTTGAAGTTCTTTTCAGTTTTGGATTTGGACACAAAGTTGGGCTCGTGTAAGTTGGCCAATAATTTTCGTGTTTGAGTTCTCCAAATTGACTTTCGTATATCCTAGAAACTTGTTGTAAGGTATACACAGGAGATATGTAGATGTCAAAGTTGTGGTGTGTGTGTGTAAGCATGAAGCAATTACATGCGAGCATGGGATGTGAACTTTTTGAAACTTGCCACAATCACACCACATTTCATCTAACAGTACTGTAAATCTTCCTACGGGTTAAATTTCTGTCGGATGTTGCGTTTCTTCGACTAAAAATCTAGTGCTTGTTCTGT